CTGCCATTTTTTTTGGCTTGCCAGCTTTGGGTAGGGAGCATGTTATTCCTAGGTTTTTCCCATCCAACTGAGGTACAATCATGCAGAAAATCTCATCCCACAACTGATGCAATAGGCCCCAAGATGATGGGCCCCAGGGCCCCAAAATACCACAGATCCAATCCTAAAGTTACTCAACCATATCACATGATATTAAGTCTTATGATTTTAAGCTAGTTTCCCAATCATAATATCTAATATTTATATGTTTTTATAATATTTTATAGCTAGTTTCCCAATTGGCCATGTAAAAAACTGGCTGGAAGGATTACCCGGATTACTACTCAAACATGGCTGGAGAACCTCCCTGTAAATGAAGCTTCGGTTTGTTGGGAAATCATCGAACTAGCCATGGTGGATTTTCCAGCAAGCCATGTTTGATTAGCAGATGGTAATAATGAATAGATATGGTGGTTTCCTGAAATAGGGGTACCCCCAAATCATCCATGTTAATGGGATTTTCCATTATTATAAACCAACCATTTTTGGATACCCCCATTTATGGAAACCCCCAAGTGATGTTTGGTTCCCAAACACCTGAGGATGACCCAGGCATAGTCCTCTGCGCAAGTTCTTTCGCCAGGGACGTCTTTCCTCGATTGCAGGGCCGTCAAAAAACACGACCTTTCAAAGAGTTGATTAGTTGATTCTGTTTTGAAACTGATTTGCCATGCTTCATCAATATGAATATGAGGGGTTCCAAGGATGGGAAACCCCCACCATCGCTTTCCCCTTAATGAGAAATACGGTAACTTGGATGAGAGCTTGGAATCTACAATGATTTAGGAACCCCCCCCATACATAACCATCCGAATATTGCCTTTTGGGTGGCCTTAACCACACTTCTCTTTGACCAGTCGCGAGCAATTTTCTGTTGCCCCCGGTCATGTTGTTGTACTGGTTGGTTCATAGAGATTCCAATAATGGATGATGATAACCCACAATGTATTGGACAGTATACAGAGATACACAGAGCATAACCCCCGAAACAATCATCAACCAACCATATAATTCATCAATGAATTTGTTATACCTTTTTTTGATTGTTAAAACATGTTAAAACATGTTCATTGCTGCAAACCCTACGCTTGCGCGGTCCAATTGCAGCTTTACCCATGTTCTGATGATCACTCCGCACATCATTAGATCATCAACCTGAAGTTCAGAGGGGGTGGCCAGATTATGATGAGCAATTCTCATACCATTAGAATACCAATGTGAAGTTCAGGGGTGGTAGATTCATTGTCATGCAACATGTGAAATGAAACATGTTGATGCATCATATCATAGGAGCTCAAATAGTGGAGTGGGCGAACATAGGATTTGGCGCTAATATCTTAAAACATGGAAAAACGTCTTAAAACAACTTCAAACCTCTTTTTAAACATCTTTTTTCAACATCTTGTAAAACATCTCTTAAACCATCTTTTTAAACATGTTTTTTCAACCCCTCTCTGAATGATGGTTGTAATATGTTTTAATATGTTTTAATCCCCCAGAAACCATAATTCGGCCGAGAGGCCACTCAAAGGGCCTCCAACCACGCTGATTGCCGGGCAAACCTGCACTGGACTGGGACCTGCAGCGGTGAAGTCTCAGAGGGGAACACGGCACGTGTAACACGGCACGTTACTTGTATAATGTGGTTAAAACAATGGGAAAATGGTGGTTTAATGGCATTTAAATGGGATTTAAATGAAATTTTAGTGGGTTATAACCAACTATGAACTTTTAAATTGGGATTAATGTGGTTAAAAACAATGCCATAAACTACCCATTTGGGAATGGTAACCATACCACCTATAAAAATGGTGATGACTGGGGGATGGTGCAAATGGCAGCCAGTTTTAACCACATGATTACGCTATTAATTACAACCATAGTTGTATATTACAACCATAGTTGTATATTATAAGCATAGTTGTACGGGCCCCTAATCTCCCAACTTGTGATATGGTGGTTTTCCTGAAAACCAGCCTGTCCCAGGTTCTCACCCAAAAAACTGCCTGCACCTTCAAGGGCCTCTTTGGGCGATTATGAAATCATCAGACATAGCTTGGAGGGTAACAACAGTGATAAAATTACCATCCTTAGATTCACTGGATTGGTTTTGTTGGGAAAATTTTAACCGGAAACCCATGGTTTTTACCATGAAATATAGGGCTGTCCTGTTCCCCCTTTCGGTGCTTGGACGAAATGGATCCTTAAATGACTTTGACCAAACATAGGCTAATTACCCTTAAAACATCCAGTGATTTAGCATCAATGTTACGCATAGTTTGAGAAACCAGCGTCCTTTGCACTTAAATGGTACAGATGAAGCCCTTTACAAACTATAAATGGTTATATAAATGAGATTATACACCACATTCCATGGATGGGGTTATAACATGTTATAACTGACTCATAGCTGGTGAAGGGCCTTAACTGTACGGAATAAACAAGGTCAGCCGGTCATCCTTTTTCCGGACTTGCAACTTTTTTTCACTTCGACGATTGGTCGCTGCCTGCATTCACTGCTGACACAGGTCTCTCAGTGGACAGCTAAATTCAGCTAAGGTACCCAAAAAACAACCAGCTGCAACGGAACATCTAACTTTCGCTAGAATATATCCATGATGGCGGAATTTTCTGGAGTCATACTGTTCTTTGCTTATCTGGTAGTCATTGAGAATTGCATGGAATTGAGATCATGCCACTTCAGCGGAATGACAGTTTTCTATCATGGTCTATCTCATCCGCCTCCCGGACTTATATAAATCTGCAAATTTCTCATTGCCATTTGTTTTGAGGTCCACAAGGGTCCACAAGAGCGAATGCCCACTGCCAAATTCATGCAAATTCACGGCCACCAAAGTAACTCACAACCGGTGGGTACAGCTTGGTGGTTTCAAACCGCTCTGAAGAACTACAGGAACTGGGCTAAAAAACTCACAGGTCAAGTAAGATTGCCCATCACCGCACGTTTGCACGCGCTAATCACGATGCTGTAGGCAGTGTCATCACATTGGAAGCCCCCTGGCATGCCGGTGTCAAGCTGGGAACGATGACCCAGGGATGTTGTTCGAGATACTGTCACGTCAAAAATAGCTATTTGTATGCAAAATTTGGTATGTATAGTGGAATGTATTGATGCAAGTGTATGGTTATCCGACATTTACTGGGACTTCCTTGTGTTGGAACACAAGTCGGTGGCAATGCGAGCGAACTTTGTGAGCGGTTAACAGAAGTAGTTCAAGTATTGGACCATAACTCTTCTATTGTTGCTCGTTGCTATGGCTACCAGCCTTCTTCACCACGGTTTACCCAGGTCCTCTCCCTGGTGATTTTTCATTCGTGGAATGGGTGCTCCCTCGCGTCGTCACCAGTTACTTGGCAAATTTCTACCCAGAAGAACCCGATCGGGTGAAGGTCTTGGATGTATTTATAATGGGACCCGATCGGGAACATCAAGTATCATGTTGGCTTTTTGCATCCTCATTTCAGGATGATTGGCCATACAAAACCCTCGGTATGTTTGATAGCTAGATGCACCCCGAATAAACAACTCAGGGGTATAAGATTCTTATCAAAATCATTTATACTCTTATGATTCCACTTCTTTGGGTTGTTGATCAATGCCACTGGGTTCAACATTGACTAAGATCAACTGCAGGCGCTCTACCAAACATGGCAACATCATGTACAACACCTACTGTACCAGGTGTGGGAAGTGCCAAAATTGGGTTGTTGACTCGTTTTGGTTATTAATATAACATTTCAACACCATTTCAGTTAGTTTCTCCCCCATGTGTTTTTATCCCAACACCAAAATATGAAATATCCTCTAGAAACGAGTGTTTACTATTGGATGATGTATTCATTTTGGGGTCCCAAAAATGTGAAAATGGCTTTAAAAAAATTGTGGAGGTTCATCCCTTTATTGTAAAGAATAGGTGTTGACCCATCTTGACCCATCCCACATGCAGATCTCATCAGATTTATTCAGATTTCATTAATAGGTTTCACTTACGGAGCTTCATTTCCCATACCCTCTGGTAATTTAACATAGCTATTGAAAATTGCCATTTATAGTGAGTTTTCCCATTAAACATGGTGATTTTCCATAGTTATGTTAGTTTACCAGAGGGTAGGTTTCATCAATCTCTTGGCCTCTTGGCCCCCAGATCGAGCCTTGCCTCGATCTGCCATCTGCAAGGCATGTAGCGCTTGGCTCCAGTGAGACATCGCTTCGCAGGCACTTAGCACCGCACCTGCTGGTGAGTTGAAACCACCTGGTCAGGGATACTATTCAGTACTGAACCGTAGAAAAAAATGTAGTAATAGTATCCCAGTTGGGTATCCCAACTAATGGGATATGAAAAACCAGTTGGGTTTGAACATGTTTGAACACTTGTGTTTTTTAACATTGACTTGGTTTGAGACGAGTAGAAAAACGAAACCATGACCTTTACAAGTCTTTCCTTCATCAAATTCAGTGTAAAACACCTGGGATTTCAACGCAACCACCACCCATCAAAGGTTTTTCGTGTCAAACCCGTGCCTATCTTAGCTGCCGCCCCAAGTTTTGTTTTATTAAATGCCTTTCTTCTTGGTTAACATAGGTACATGTAACAGTAACATCTTCATTTTTTCTCAAGATCCACATGTTTGCTGGTAATGGAAATCCTAGATTCCGTTGAACCCCCATTTCAAGTTTAAAAAAACCTTGAAGGTTTGCTTCTTACATAAACTCCATTTGTGTTGTTAACATGCCCATTTGCGTGCGTGTGTGTGGGAGGGGGTAGATCAAGAGTATCTTTGCTTAAACATCCACCCACATGTCTTGGTTAAGGTGAATCCCGATGCTTCACTTCGGTCGGTGACAATTCCATTCCCCCTTCCTTGAATTGCTCCAAAAAAATAGTTGGCTAAATCCTTCTCTAAATCATTATCCAAAAGAAATATATGAAATATACAGTACAAGGAAAATAATGATCTATACGTTCAAAATCCAGCACAATATTGATTCCAGAAAGCATGCTCAAGTACGGTGATTTGTCATGATTTTCACATATTTGGGACCAAATTTTTTGGGGCGAATCAAAAAATCAAAACTGGTTGGTGGTTTCAACCCCTCTGAAAAATATGAAAGTCAGATTGGATCATCATCCCCAATCTGGTTGGGGAAAATAAAATTCATGTTCCAAACCACCAACCAGAAAAAAACGGGATGGGATTATCTCATGGTCTTTCATCAAGGTACTCCACATCTTCAGATCGCATGCGAAAGCACTGCGACCCCGCTCCAGCAGCTGCACGGCAGAGGACCAGTGGGCGCCAACCATGACCTGAACCCATGGAGCCCATGGAACCCATGGTAAACATAGAAAAAACGATGGAAACTCACCATGTTTAAGGGTAAATCATCGAAAAAATGATCGAAGGGTATCCGACAGCAATGGTATCTTGGGTCGGAAGCTCATCCCCCCAAAGATCCACGATGTATTGTCTAAGCCTATGATATTCATACGTGAAGTTACGTTACTTTACGTTACCTAGCATTACGTTCCATTATGTTCCATTAGGTTACGTTGCATCTGATATTTACCCTCTGGTAATTTCACAGTTCGCTATTGAACATGGCCAATTGATGGTTGATTTACCATTTCAAATATTGTGCTTTTCCAGTTAGCTATGCAAACGTTTACCAGAGGGTAAGTGAAATCATCATTAATCACCATTAGTCACCATCATTAACCATCATTAATCACCATTAATCACCATTAATCACCTGTGGACTTGCATCAGCTCTATCCACCTGTGAACTTGCCAAGTTGCCCCAGTGAAGGTGATGGCGTCGCACCGCAGGGAGAGGCCTCGAGGGTAGCCCAAGTCCCCAGTATGTTGTGTACAAAGGATATATTCATACATCTCATATATAGCTGTACGATATAAGCATAAAATGCGCGAACTGTATATATCATTATATGATATATATATATATATATATTGTATCAGTATATATATATATGTATATGATTATATATGATTATATATATATATATATGATTATATATGATTATATATATATATGATTATATATGATTATATATGATTATATATGATTATATATGATTATATATGATTATATATTATTATATATGATTATATATGATTATATATGATTATATATATTGTATCAGTATATATATATATATATATATGTATATGATTATATATATATATGATTATATATATATGATTATATATATATGATTATATATATATGATTATATATATATGATTATATATTATATTGTGGCATTAAAATATGTCTATGTCTATAACTATAACAATTATATCTGTTTGGAGAATCACCTGGAGGATCAGGTACTTCATGGGGTGATCTCAAGCCTAACCACTGCAGTATGTCAGCAGTTTGGGACACTCAACGATTTTCGAAACAACCATGGGCAACCTCGGCTGCAAACGGAAGTCATCCTCAAGTTGGAACATCACATATTCATACATTAAAATTAAAAGACATGAAAAGACCATCAAAGACCACTTCATGCTACAAATAAACAGGAAAATCCATCCTGGACCATCTGGATAGCTTTCAGTGTCACATGAAAACTTCGGCTATTTGAGGATAGTTGCCTCAAATCCAATTCCCATCATTCCATTTTTCAACAGAAGGTTCGGTCGCAACATACATCGCCCAGCTCTTCCCCAACCGCGGCAGCGAAGCCACCGGTCCTTGCATTTCTTCGAAGAGTTTCCATGCCACAGAAAACTCATGACCTGCGAATTTGACCGGAACGGAGCAAAATGGGGAGACCAAATAGGATATGAGTCGGATACTCTCTGGTAATTTAACAGTTTGCAATTGAAAATTGCCATTTATAGTGGATTTACCAGTTGAAAATGATGATTTTCCATAGCTATGTAAACGTTTACCAGAGGGTACATAAAATAAACAAACAAATTAAATTCGATATGGCTTTGGCCAGAAAATGCGTTGGATATCCGGCTATGTTCCGTCAACCCCATGTAAGTCGCATGAGTGTACCAGAAATATATCAAGATTCTGACATAAACAAATCATGAATGCAGATATAGAGTGTAGGTAAAGATACCAAATGGCTATGGAATGCTATTGGTCAAAATCGGACTCCGGTAAACATGGCACTGGAAAGTCTCATAAGTCTCATTATTGGCCGTTGATGTTGAAAATTATTTAATCCCCCATTGATGATTGTCCAATTTAAATACCCATTTGTGGGAGCAAAAAGCAATTCCCATGTTTGATTGCCAGGGGCTACCGGATCCCGAATTGCTGGCCATACAGTAGCCGTAGCCTTTACCCTCAAGCGTTTTTAATGATCACCCGAAGCCAAATTTTGGATAAGTGATACGAATACAAAGCCAAAAGTGGGCAACCAAAAAGTTAGAATAGATAATGGATGGCCAAAATAAGTTGTTCCCGATATAATTTTGACACATGCCATCACATGCCCAAATCTTGCGCCAGTGCCTTGTGCGCACACGGTGATAGCCGAGTTGTAGATGATGGTGTTTTGAAGAGATCTACCTATGAAGCAGATCCAGAATCAGGACAGTGAAACATTTCAAGCGGGGAAACATGTGCATGCTTGGGGATTGAGAAAAAAACTGGGGCCCCCATGTGAATACCAAAAATTTGACTCCATGACCAATTCGAATGTCTGACCATTTGCAGGTTGCATAAGTTCATATCCCAAGGGGACCATCGAGATATTCTACAGCTGACAGTGAATTTTACCAAAAGTAGCGTCAAGGCTCTAGGTAAAGCCCAAGAATCGGAATCATCAGATGTCATATCCGCAGCAATGCCACTGATTCTGCCAGTGATCAGAATATGCATGGTAACACGTAATGATACAAATATAAAACATGTTCTGATCATTGGATATTACGTTTCAATATGCCATGAACCACAAATAAAACTATACCATCCAGTTATTACATATGGCAACATGTTCTTACCCGAAGGATGGCATGTTTTTTTCAGTACCCAAATCCACATCGCCCACCTGCGGGTTCCCGTTTCCGGCAAGATGGTGCACTCCGTTTCCGGCTAGCTGGGGAACTATCTGCTTATGGTGATGTCCCTTCTTCAAAACGTAGACATGTTGAATCAAAAAACTGGGGTCTGTCTGAGAATGAGGTAGCCCAACAGAAAATAAAGTGTTTATGGAATGATCATGTTTCCTATCAAATGGCCATTTAGAGGGGGTCACCCAATTTTTCAGAACAATCCTGATGTCATATTGTTGGTCGATGTTGGTCGATGTTCTTCCCATTTGTTCCTCCATGTAAATCCCATTTCTATCCATTTCTGAACACACGCGCACACACACAGAAATCATATGAAGTCATCATACTGCTGGTGACATCCGCGATGATATAATCCCCACGATATTCCCATCCAATTCAGAGCCAACGATCATGTTATTTTTGGATATTTTTGGTATTTCTGATTCTAAATTTATAACATATTCCCATGACCTTCCCAATATAGCAACCCCGACCCAGGGTCGATGCTGAAAAAACGGCAAAAAAAAACAAACTATTCGGGTGACATCACCATGGTGTTTTTCCCATCATAATACAAGATGTTCGTACCATGGTTAATACCAGGGTTGTATAACATACTATGGTTCATACTATGGTTCATGGTCCATGCTATGGTTACAGTAATACTGTGGTTAATATTATGGTTGGGACTATGATACTATGGTTGATACTATGGTCAATATATGTCAATATTATGGTTAATACAATGGTTATTCCAATTCCTATGATTCATATTATGTTTTTTACTGGGTATGTTCGGCATCCACCTGGCTGGTTGCCAACAATCCGCCTGGCATCAATTCCAAGGCTGCAGGCCACTGGCCTGTCAAGGATGGATTGAAAGGGGAACATGTTATGAAACATAGCAAATACATCATGAATCATGAATCATGATCAACATAATCATAATCATAGTCATCATAATAAACATCAACATAATCATACTCATAATCAGAGTCATCATCCTCATCATCATCATCGTCGTCGTCGCCGCCGTCGTCGTCGTCGTCATCGTCATCATAATCATCATTATTATTATCATCATCATCATCATCATCCTCAACCTCATCCAAATCGTCATCGTCGTCATCGTCATCGTCATCGTCATCATCATCATCATCATCATCCCCATCATCGGCGCCAGTGTCGTCGTCGTCGTCGTCGTCGTCGTCGTCGTCGTCGTCGTCGTCGTCGTCGTCGTCGTCGTCGTCGTCGTCGTCGTCATCGGCATGGTCATCGTCATCGTCATCATCGCCGTCGTCATCGTCATCATCATCATCTTGTTTATTATCATCATCATAATCATCATCATCATCATCATCAGAATCATCATCATCATCATCATCATCGTCATCATCATCATCATCATCCTCATCATCGTCGCCAAGGTCGTTATCATCAGCATCGTCGTTATCATGGTCATCCTCATCCTCATGCTGTATGTGTATGTATATATATATATGTTAACCCAATGTGTTGGGAACCTATAGATGGCGCAAATATCCCCTTCGTTCAGGTGATCTATAGATGGCGAATTTCAATCATTAGCGCCATCCACTATCAAAATGGAGTATACATATATATATATATCAAAATGGATCCGTCATCATCCTCATCCTCATCCTGTATATATATATATATATATATGTGATATGATATGATTGCGATGCTTCAAGGCGAAAAACCAATGGACACCGTCGCCTTTTCGTGGCCCCCTGCGCCTGGCACCATCTTCAAGGCTTGGAGGACGGCGCCGATCGTGGCGCTGCTCCGGCGAAAATTGGACACCTGGGGGATCCAAAAAAATTGGGGAATTTCACCACGAAAAAATGGGTAGAAGATGGGTATAAGATGGGTATAGCCCCATAATGCCCCATACTTAGCTAAGTTGACTTCTAACTTGATGAAGTAGGGTTGATAGAGGAGATATAACTAGAGTTGGATGGGGTTATAAACCAACTGATAGCTAGGGGGGCCCTTCCTGTACAATCTGGGATTCAAACCCCGCCCAAAGCAATGGAAAGCAATGGGAGTGATACCAGATATGGGTTCGTTGGTCCAATGGGATTGAATTCCAATAAATGTGTAGGGGATATGGTATTTCATGGTGATATTTGATGGGAATATCGTAGGAGATAAACCAACAATATGATATTTGGCTTTATCCAAAAATGGGGTACACCCCAGACAATGGCAATGTGTATGTTGGGAAAATGATGATCAACAATTGGGTCTAGAGGATACACTATTTTCAGACAAAACCACCTCGCAATTTTCCAACCCATAGGTTTCCGGCAGTTTTTGTGTCATTTGTTTGAATAATGGAATGCAACTCGTACAATAGCAAAACCTGCTCCCCTCTGCTCCTGATACTCTGTGGATATCTCTGGCCATGGAAACCGCATGGAATATCCAAAATCATAGGTGATGTTCTTCTTAACCCATGGGATGATTTCCCATCCAACAAAAATCAGAAAATTACCTTGTTCTTTCTCATCCCCCAAAAAAATCTCTATCCGCTATGCAAATGATGTTCCAGATGATTCTGAATTGAGACCCATTCGTTTGAAACGACAAAACCATATTTTTTGCGCCATCCAAAATTAAAATGTTAAAACTCCTTGGATGGAACATCATCCTTTTCCATGTACCCTCTGGTAATATAACATAGCTATAGAAAATAACTATTTTTAATAGGTAAACCATCTTTTTCTATGGGCCATGGCTTCCATAGCTATGTTTGTTCACCAGAGGGTAAATCACCATTAAACACCATCAAATCACCATTAATCACCATTAATCACCATTGTTTTCTCCCATAAAAAACACATTCAATCGCCGTATCTTCGCCTCCATATCCTCCAGCAGCTGTAAGGCCCAATTCCAGGCCGCGTCCACGCAGCTGACGCAGCTGTTGTAGATCACCAAGTTGCTACGCACCTCGCGGGACGTTTGGAAAAAAAGCTGGAAGTGGTTGAGATGGAGACTTCTGGACAGTCGAATTTTATGAATTATAATTTATAATATATACACATATATACATATTATATATATATACATATTATGTGTATGTATATATATATATTTGTTGGTGGCCTCTGTGGGCTGAAGTGGAGGCGTGAGATATGTTGCGATAGAGATTCTCGGATGATTCGTAGATCATTAGATCAACCTCGCGAAACCAGTGGTTTCAACCACAAAAAATGATCAAGTGGTTGGTGGTTGACCTACCCCTTTGAAAAATGATGGACTTCGTCAGTTGGGATGATGACTCCATTCCCAACTGTTTTTGGAAAGTCATAAAATTCCATGGTTCCAGTCACCACCAACCAGTCAACCACAACCGGGGTTCAAACGTTCAAACTCTCCAGGTGGTCTCCTGGATCCATGGTACCCGGTTGTTGTTCTGGATGTTCATCCACCCGTCATCGTCCCATGGGCGTTTACCGAATTGACCCAGAAAACCTGCGCATTTCCATACGAGAAGCGTAAACAAAGATTGGATTTAATGATTTCCCAATTCAATTTTTGAATATTCATATCTATTCATCTTATATGTATATGGCCGGATTTTTTGGCCCCAAAAGTTCATCCTCGAAAACTCCTTGTTTGCATCTCAATAAACATCAGGTAATCATCAACAAATCATCGAAAATCATCAAACAATCATCAACACCCTCAATCGAAAATCACAAAAAAAATCATCGAACATCCTCAAAAATCATCGAACATCATCCAAAAATCATCCAAACATCGAACATCCAACAGGTGTTGCGGCCAGTGCTGCGGCCTGTTTGGATCCCATAGACTTCATCAGCAGCATGGCCTGCGGCCATGGGCCGCCAATGGCAGAGCCATAGGAGGTCACCGTGCAGCCGCAACTGGAGAGTAGGCGGTCAAAGAGCCTGGTGATGGTGATACAATGGGTGGAAGAAGTCCACCAGATAGGTAGTTTATCCCACGATTTATAGGGTTTCAACATGTTTCAACCATCCAAGGTGCAGGATTTCGCAACCATCCACAGTATGTAATGATGGTGATCACTTTCCCAAGAAAAAAATGAAAGGTGAGGGGTTTTTTTTCAGCAAACAACTAAGATTTGCCCCACTCATCTGGTTTTTGATTGGTTATAAGATACTATAAGTATCTGGGTAAATTATAATATTTCACTAACCTGAATAGTGCGGCCATTTGGGGATGATTTCCCTTACTAACCATGATTCCAGTGAGGGAGAACAGTGAGGTCGCTATAATTTACCCAGAAGTATACTGTATGTCTATGAGATATCGCAGCATGGCAACTACGGAGATCACCCAAAAAAACACTGACAGCCCGAGTTTCGGAGACATCCTGACCACAAAAAGTACTAAAGGCTACTCGGCGGTGCAGTTGGGGTGATTTGTATGGGAATAAAAAAACCATGGTGATGTCACCCCCATAAGTTGGAAAATATATGAAAATATGGGGCCCCAGGTAGGATCGGATACTGACCCTGAAGGCGTCTGAAAAAAAACGGCTGGTGAGACTGGACAAAGCCAAACTTGTTGCGACATACCCACAACGCACATCAAATGGAATATGATCGCAGACCTTCTCAGCAAAAACTTGACCCTTTTAGAGGTCTTGTCTAGCAAGTAGACTCCCTTAAGTCTGACCAATCTGTGCAAAGCCCTGGCCGTTTGGAGGTCTCAACATGTCTGGGGGATCATCAGCGAAGATCTGTTACGATGTCAAATAGAAATACCATCCCATCCCCTTCACATAACACTGCCAAATAGGAGCTTGGGGGACCTCCAAAAATGCTGGGGAGCAACTATTAAAATTGTAATTAATGATCATAGTTAGAATGTGATAGAATGATCATGAATGATCATGAATGATCATGAATGATCATGAATGATCATAATATTCATCATATTATATAAGTATATGATGATAATATTGCACATGTTCCAGAAATTAGAACTGGTACCAGCTCGTTAAAAGCGGCCTCAGGGCCGCTGTCCATTCGGATCCTTTGGACAACGAGGAGATGCAGCTGTCGTACGTCATCACATTGCCTGACCGTGGAGCATCGGTGACCAGCAGCAGAATGAGGGCAGAAATCTGTCCACCACCAACCCTTCTGAAGGGCTTGTTACATAACCATGACGAGGCCAATTTTTCTATGATTACTGCTTGTTAATCAGGGTGGTTTTGAATGACCAGTGACTTCAAATCGCCAGTATCAAAACAAGTCATAGAAAACAAGAGATGCAAAAAACTGAGATAGTTTGGAAACAGCGACCCTCTGAAAATGACATGTGTCCTGGATATTTTCCTGTAACCCAATACTTACACCTTTAACTTCTGGAATCTATACTGTATAACAAGAAAACCTACGCTAGGTGCTGTGAATGTGAGCAATGCCCAACACCCTGTCGGTTGAGAGTTGTATAGGGTTGTACCAACTGGTTTGATTGGCAACATATATTGTTACCCAATATGGGTTTTGAGTGGTTTTGATGCAAACCTGAATTTTACCAGTAACCGCTTATTGTGGATGGTCATCCTCCCGTTTGCAAAATCAGAGATTCTGATCCAGACCCAAAATGGTAAATCGTTCAGACGTATGAAATGAATGTGCATTCCCTACCAGAGCCCTTTGGTTGGAAAAAAGACATTCCAGTTGGATCTCAACAAAAGCCTCCTTTGAAATTCGCAAAAAGGAAGCATAACACCAGGAGTGTATGGATTTTTGGAGGAGCAATCCCCAAGTACCGATGTTGAATCACCATAAATCCCTCACTCACCATTTTGTCGGCTGATTTCCACGTCTTTGTCTGTACCATGTGTTGTTGGCTCCAAAACGGTAAGCCCCTCATCTGTGACACCAAATCCCCCTCATCTGTGACACCAAAACCCCCCTGATTTTCCCTCATCTGCGACACCATTTTCCCCTCATCTGCGACACCATCTGGTTTTAGGGTGGGTGGGGTGGGGTGGTGGGGTTGGGGGTTGGGGTGGGGTGGGGTGGGGTGGGATGATAACGTCCATGTTCCTGTGCGCACACAGGCACGGCAACCTCATCACACGAGAGCTGGCGGTGGGTCTCTGTCCCTTTCTCTCCCTGGTGGTCCGTTTTGGCCGCTCAGCAGCCCAAATCCTCCAAAACGGACCTACCCAGCTCTTCCACTCGGTGGGGGTGGGGTGGGGGGTGGGGTGGGATGATAACGTCCATGTTCCTGTGCGCACACAGGCACGGCAACCTCATCACACGAGAGCTGGCGGTGAGTCTCCGCCCCTTTCTCTCCCTGGTGGTCCGTTTTGGCCGCTCAGCAGCCCAAATCCTCCAAAACGGACCCCGCCAGCTTGGTCAGCTTGGCTGTGCTCCTTGCTCTCCCTCCTGGTGGTCCGTTTTGGCCGCTCAGCAGGACCTCGCCAGCTTGGTCAGCTTGGCTGTGCTCCTTGCTCTCCCTCTGGTGGTCCGTTTTCGCCGCTCAGCAGCCCAAATCCTCCAAAACGGACCTCGCCAGCTTGGTCAGCTTGGCTGTGCTCCTTGCTCTCCCTCCTGGTGGTCCGTTTTGGCCGCTCAGCAGGACCTCGCCAGCTTGGTCAGCTTGGCTGTGCTCCTTGCTCTCCCTCTGGTGGTCCGTTTTCGCCGCTCAGCAGCCCAAATCCTCCAAAACGGACCTCGCCAGCTTGGTCAGCTTGGCTGTGCTCCTTGCTCTCCCTCTGGTGGTCCGTTTTGGCCGCTCAGCAGCCCAAATCCTCCAAAACGGACCTCGCCAGCTTGGTCAGCTTGGCTGTGCTCCTTGCTCTCCCTCTG